TGGTGGAAAAGGAAGAGAACTTTCATTGAGAAACACACAGACAATAAAAATTATAAAATCTTGACAAGCAAAGACACCTAAACAACAACATTGAAATAATATTTTGGTTAGTGCATCGGGCAACCTTGGTTTTCTTTTATGGAGGTTATACCAGATTTACTAGAAGGTTTTATTTATCCTAATCAATAAATGGTCTTATACCCATAGCCATACCTGAACTGAGTCAAGTATAGCATGCCCTCATTAGGGACTTCAAAATTTTACAGCATGCTTCCTGACTGTACATGTTCAGGGACATGAGGATTGTTTTAGGGATCATATATGGCAGTAAAGTCTAATGGGAAGAGATGAGGGCATTTTTGAACAACACTCATTATCTCTTCCCAATGGAATACAGAAACAGCTGACTTCTCTAATCCTGTTAAGCCCCAAATTTCTGAACATTCTCTCATTTTAAATTACAGAACTGACACATAAATCAGGCAGAGATAATTTCTCTTAGCAAAGTTCTATTCACTTTTGTTTCTCCTGGAAAAATGGCCTATTCTTCTTTAAGCTCATGACTTTTGTAAACCTTTCTAAAAGCAGCAGGGTTATGAACAGCTGAGCTTTGTTCAGCTTTTTCGTGTAGTGTCAAAATATATGCAGCCCTATAACCTACTGTTCCAAGTTTTCACGGGCAACGGCATAACAAGGTTTATTTGCTTCCTACCTGACCGTATTTTTTTCCTTGCACTCTCCACCCTCCCACTAAGCTAATGCCCCATATTTGGGGATTTTAATAGCAGTTCTACACCTCTACATACTCATTTCTTTGTTAGACTAAATTGTTGTAACAGAAAGATTCAAAGTTCAGTGGCTCAAATAAGATAAAAAAAAAAATTCTCACAACCATCCCTCAGGTTGGTAGTGATTTACAGTCAGTCTGCTCCAACATGATCATCTAGAAACAGAAGCTCCAGTGTTGCAGCCCACGGCTTCCTAAGGCACTGTCTTTCTTTGCATGGTACCTGCTAGATCATCACTTTGAGTGCATTCTACCAGCTGAGGAGGTGAGAGTGCACAAGTCCAAAACGAGGAGCTTGTCATTAAATCGGAAATGACCTCAAGGTTACCACCCTCACATGTGTGCACTTCCCACGTTTCCTGACTCAGTCACAGGGCGCATCTAGTTGTAAGGATAGCTGAGGAATGTATCCATTCACTGGGCAGCTATCTGTCCACGCAAAATGTTTTCCTATGGAAGAAATGAGAAGTAATATTTGGACTAGCAAAGGTATGGACTATGAAAGAGTCCACTATGATTATTATCTATTATTTTGCATTATCCATTATTTTACAAAAGTCTTATATGTCCTACTTTCCCCTTTCCAGAGTAGCTAAAAGTTAATACTCCCTCTTAGTGTGTATGTATCATTTATGACCCACAATAACTGCAGTTGCTTCCTCATGGTCTCTCTCACTACTTTCTTCTTCCTGTCTCTTACATTCATCAATTACAATTAAAATTGAAATCCAGTGAGAAATGTAGTTATGCCACTAGATAGTGTTTGGACCTAGTGGTCTCCATACAGCACTTTGGGAAACACAAGCAGGCTTTTTCAGGGAAAAATTATTGATTGTGACAAAGGGAGAGAGAAGCTGCTGTTAATGTCCTCAGTTTCTCTTCATCCCTCTAAATGGGAATACTGCTTATTAAATCGTATTCTCATGACTGCCATTTCCTGATCACCCAGGGAATCAATGTAACAACTCTCAGGAATTTGCTACATATCAGTGAGGGTTCTCAATTAGGTTATTATCACTTCTACTAAGCTAAGGATATGAAAGAAGAGATAAACATCCAGCCACTAGTCAATGGGCCTTTGTCTCAGGGATGGGAAGAAAAACATATTGCCATGCATTTTTCCTACATAATTTGTGTATGAACATTCTGGGCAATGAAGATTGGGCTCAGTAATCTTTTTTTTTTATTATGTTATGTTAGTCACGATACATTACATCATTAGTTTTTGATGTAGTGTTCCATGATTCATTGTTTGCATATAACACCCAGTGCTCCATGCAGTACGTGCCCTTCTTAATACCCATCACCAGGCTTTCCCATCCCCCCAACCCCTCCACTCTAAAACCCTGTTTGTTTCTCAGAGTCCATAGTCTCTCATGGTTCGTCTCCCCCTCCAATTTCCCCACCTTCATTCTTCCCTCCTGCTATCTTTTTTTTTTTTTTAACATATATTGTATTATTTGTTTCAGAGGTACAGATCTGTGATTCAATAGTCATACACAATTCACAGTGCTCACCATAGAACATACCCTCCCTAATGTCTATCACCCAGCCACCCCATTCCTCCCAGCCCCCACCATTCCAGCAACCCTCAGTTTGTTTCCTGAGATTAAGAATTCCTCATATCAGTGAGGTCATATGATACATGTCTTTCTCTGATTGACTTATTTTGCTCAGCATAATACCCTCCAGTTCCATCCACGTCATTGCAAATGGCAAGATTTCATTCCTTTTGATGGCTGCATAATATTCCATTGTATATATATACCACATCTTCTTTATCCATTCATCTGTTGATGGACATCTTGGCTCTTTCCACAGTTTGGCTATTGTGGACATTGCTGCTATAAACATCGGGGTGCATGTACCTCTTCAGATCACTACATTTGTATCTTTGGGATAAATACCCAGTAGTGCAATTGCTGGGTCATACGGTAGCTCTATTTTCAACTTTTTGAGGAACCTCCATAACTGTTTTCCAGAGTGGCTGTATCAGCTTGCATTCCCACCAACAGTGTAGGAGGTTCCCCTTTCTTCACATCCCCGCCAACATCTGTCATTTCCTGACTTGTTAATTTTAGCCATTCTGACTGGTGTGAGGTGGTATCTCATTGAGGTTTTGATTTGGATTTCCCTGATACCGAGCGATGTTGAGCACTTTTTCATGTGTCTGTTGGCCATTTGGATGTCTTCTAGATGAGTGATACCATAAGACAAAACATTAGAATAATTGGGATCCCAGAAGAAAGAGAGACAGAGAGGCAGAAGGTATATTGGAGCAAATTATAGAAGAGAACTTCCCTAATTTGGGGAAGGAAACAGGCATCAAAATCCAGGAGGCACAGAGAAGCCCCCTCAAAATCAATAAAAATAGGTCAACACCCCGACATCTAATAGTAAAACTCGCAAGTCTCAGAGACAAAGAGAAAATCCTGAAAGCAGCTCGGGAGAAGAGATCTGTAACCTACAATGGTAGAAACATTAGATTGGCAACAGACCTATCCACAGAGACCTGGCAGGCCAGAAAGGACTGGCATGATATATTCAGAGCACTAAATGAGAAAAATATGCAACCAAGAACATTAGATCCAGCTAGGCTGTCATTGAAAATAGAAGGAGAGATAAAAAGCTTCCAGGACAAACAAAAACTAAAGGAATTTGCAAACAGGAAACCAGCCCTACAAGAAATATTGAAAGGGCTCAGTAATCTTTTTCTTTTATTTTTTCCAACTACTTTACCCTAAAATTGAATTAATGCATTATCAGTTGCCTCCCATCTTTTTCTTTTATTTTTTTCCAACTACTTTACACTAAAATTGAATTAATGCATTATCAGTTGCCTCCCAGAAAGATAAAGAGGGCCAAACTTCTCTGTCTCTCTTTTTCACCTCTAATACATAGACTTGTATTTTCTTTTTTGCTTCTCTTTCCTTACTGTCAGGGAAATCTGAAGTGTTTAATATAATGAGACCTATGAGATTCCCCTGAGGGATAATGACAACCACAAAATTTTAGGCTTTTGTATCTTTTCTTTTAACCTAACCCTTTGGTATCTATGGCCCACCCTCTCAGTCCTTATACATTTATACAATTTTGGTATTTGATATTAAGCCATTTTCTCACCACACTTTTTAAGTATATAAAGTATAAGTATATAAGTAAAGTATAAATATATAAGCTCTCATAAATTATCAAAGTGAATATATTAATATAAGTAGTTAATATTTATTCTGAGGACATCTCAGAAGCACCTGGAGTGGTCGAAGGAGCAGGAAGTGGTCAACTGTGTTAAACGGTGCTAATGTAAAATGAGGACCACGTCTTGACCACTAGATTTGAAATGTCAAGGTACTGACAAGATCTGTGTCATTGGAGACAACAGCCTGATTGGACTGTCTTCAAAAACCTATATATGGCAAGAGAGGCAGTGAAAAGAGTGAACAGTTAGTTGCCTCTTTTCAAGAAATTTTGCTCGAAGGGGGCAGAGAAAGGGATAGTCATTAGAAGGAGATGTGGGGATGAGGGAGGACTTTTTTGTTATGAGAGATATATGAAATGCGTGGATGCTAATGAGAATGGTGCCTTAAAGGAAAAAACTGTTGGTGAAAGACAGAGTGATGAGAATTGTAGTAAGGGAACACGTGGCGTAACTTGGTAAGAAATGGAGGAGGGACACCTTCTTGTCAGTTATTGAAATGGGGAAGCATCTAGCAAAATATTAAATAAAAATAAATCGCTTATCTATTTGAGAAGGGCATGGACATGCTATGGAAGGGCTAGTGGGGAGTGTAAATATAATTTCAGTGTTGGAAGTGAAGATGAAACGGATGCATATTTCTTAAGGTAACCGAGTTAAAAGCCATACACAATTGACCAGATTGTCATCTTATATAGCACTTTTTCTTGGAAATAGATCTTTATAACTTCCCTCTTGACAACTTTTGAAGTATTATACTTGTGTTTTAAGGGAAATTTGATTTATAAAATTGGAGGTTAGAGATAAAGAAGTTCTGAGGTGGCATGAGAAAATCATAGCACTCCTTGTCAATAACCTGTATTTTTCTTCCTGAATATTTTTTTAGGATTGTGTTTGATGCCTAGAGGTTCTCGGGATATTACCTTAGCACACATTTTGCTTTCAAATTCCATATGAGTTTCTGGGTTGATTCCTCCTGATTACAGTAGCATTGATTGCTGTCTAAATCTGTTGCAGTGTCCCTGAATACTATGACTACGGTCATGGAGTAAATGAGGATGCCTATGACAGCTACGGTAAGACCTTTTCTTTACTAAATCTATGAAATCAGAACATCCATCAGTCACTGACAACTCAGAAATTACTTCTAGCTTTCTACCTCTGGGTTTTACAGAAGTCCAAACTAAATTGATTTATGTAATTCAAGGGTGAGATCTGATGTACAAGAGCCAGTGCCAGAAACCTGGACAGATCAATTTTGATCAAAATTTCAAAAGCAATTAATCACAATCATAGATCATTCTCAACAGCAACAGTGAGCATTTTGAACAGTGTCTTACATGTTCCACTGTGTCCATTGTCTGACTCATTGATTTGACAACAATGCTGTGTCTTTCCTGCTGTAACAAAGATCATTAGAGTAATACACAGTTAAAATACTTTAAAACGTTTAAGGGCCGAAATTGTGGCTTTCAAGTTATTTTCTTATAGCTCTGAGAAGTGCCATATAATGCCTGGCATAAGAATTAATAGTCAAATAGCATGTCAGTCTATAAAATTAATTTCAAATATACACTGTTTAATTAAAATACTACTTAGAATTCATTGTAATTCAATTCAGTAAGATTTATTGAGTATCTGTGGCATATCCATACAGTATATCACTTTTGAAAGGTAGTTTCTCACTCCTTAAAATACATATGCAGTGTCACCGGCTGGCCACCTTGAAAAATAACATTTATTTAAATGTTTTCGGTCCCCAATTCTTATTGAAATAATACCAAAGCCACTCCGTTTCTCTTTATGGGGAGCAGTAAAGAGATCATGAATTGTGCTTCTGTGTTCGGGGCTCCACATTATGCAGGTGCAGTGCTTTATAAGGATGAAGGGAAGGTCCAGACCTCAAGAGGAAAGGAGGAAGTGCACCCTCACTGAAACTAGTTACCTAATCAACTCACTTCTCCAGGTGGAATATCATGAGGAGTAGAAATAGGAGTAGAAAATAAAAATAGCAGAAGAATAAACTGCCCCCACAGTGATTGCCATCCATAAGCTACTTACTTACGTATATCTTCTCATTTATTTTTTATGATAAAATGAACTATTAAGTGTTTTTATCTCCATTTTATAATGAGGAAACTAAACAACAGAGGTTAAGTCAATATGAGAATACAATTGTGGAACGCAGCTTCTGTTTTTATAGTCTCATCAGTGGTTGGAATGCTATCAGTTGGGGCTACCTCACATGAGGCACCTACCTATTATGGCTCTGGACTAAGCAATTTATCATGAGGATTAGAGATTATGGAAATAATCCTCATTAAACATTCTGTGTATATCTACATAATCGAATCCCCACTAGAATCATAGAGGGTACACACTCATATTGTCATCTGCACTTTACAAAGAAGGAACCGAGGCTCAGAGCTGTCAGCAACTTGCCTGAGTTAAACAATTCGCAAATGACAGAGTAAGAATGAATTCAAGCGCATCCGATTTTGTTGCTGGGAGTCGGGGCAGAGTTCAGTGGACCTAGAGAGAAAGAACAGGACCTGGTACTTTAAACCTGAGTTTATTTTAAAGGAAGGGTGTTGAACTTAGTGAGATTTCTCGAAATCCTGCCAGCTACTCTCCCACTAACCTAAGGGGATGAAGGTTTTCTAGAGTATTTTACAGGAAAAAAAAAAAAAATTAACCCAAGATGAGCACTAGGCTCACTCTCTCTCAGACTCCAGCTTCTCCACCACCAATCAAATGAACATAATCTCCCTGCTGTGAGAGAAGGGATATTCTCCAAAATAACTGAAATATGTTTTCAGAAATTATTTCACAGAAAAAATAAGCGATAGACAAGTTCGCACACGCCTGGCTCAGTTGCTGCAGCATTCTCTTAGTTCAAAGGCGAAATAAGTAAATCTACATTGTTCCAAGCATATTCTTAATCGAATAGGAATCAAGGGGCACCTGGGTGGCTCTGTTGGTTAAGCGTCTGCCTTCAGCTAGGGTCATGATCGCAGGGTCCTGGGATCGAGTCCCACATAGGGTTCCCTGCTCAGTGGGGAGCCTGCTTCTCCCTCTGCCCTTCCCCCTGTTCATGCTTTCTCTCTCTCTCTCTCAAATAAATAATACAGTTTTTAAAAAAGGACAAATAGGAATCCAGCCACATGCCTTGTATGATTACTTAGGATGATAGGTAAATAAGACACAACACGGGCCTTTAATTCATTCAGTTGTGTGCATATAGGTATTTACAGGCTGTAGGAATATGATGGTGTACATGATAGACGGATTTTCCCTCCCCGGTTCCTGTCTATTGTTGAGAAACCTGTGGCTACATATAAAAAACTGTGCCAGCTTATAAACCATGTGATACAAGAGAAGGTCAGAGAACATTACTCGTGTAACATTTATTTAATGGCTAACATGTGCAAGCCATTGTTCTCAATCCTGGAGATACTGTGGTGAACAATCTCTTGAAACTCACATTACTATTTATAAATCACTTTTTAAAACTGGGATTTTCATTTGCAAAATACAGTCATTGCTTTTTACACTTGGCACAACAATTTGAGGAAAATCACCCCTATGAGCTTTACTTTATGGAATTACATGTACTAAAATTAATGGATGATATCTGACTGTGTAGCTGGTAATAAGAGATGAGTTTTCTGCTTCTAATTATTTTTTAAAATGTTATTACCATGTAAGGTAATAGGGAAAAGTGTGCGATTATAAACTATGGCTTTTCAGATCTTATAACGGACATCCAGGGACCATGGTCAGGAGAGCGGGGTCTACCTCTCTGACCTATGGGTCTTACATGATTCTTCTTGGTTCTTTGATTCTTCTGCTGCAACAAAGTCTACAGACAAACAACCGCTTTTATTTTAAAAGCTACGCCTGCCCATCAGCACTAGATTTCATTCTGGGTCAAATTACAATTTATCAATAAGCACTTCTCAGCACCCAGAAGCAGTTGACACATTATTTTTAATAAAGTAATGAGGAAAATGTCTGGACAGAGTAAGAAAGATATTACATAGGAATTTTTACATGATAACTTTTTTTAACCTATTTTATTAACTGAAATGTCAGCCAAATTGGCCATATTCTTAGTGTGGAAAGATTAGATACATATATGTGGCTAAAAATAGACTGGTCTTTAGGGCCATGATCTTTTCTTTGGCCACTAGGATCTGTTGCCATTTTCTGACATTACTGAACAAGCATTAATTCAAGAATTCAAGTCCAAAGCTGAGAAATAGTAAGTGCTCAGCATCATCATCTTGAAATTTAATTAACAAATTAAAATGCATTGTATACACTCAGATTTTGGTATCAGGTTATCATGTAGAGGGAGCTTGAAGTACAGGCTTCGTACTGATAGGTTGCTCATCCTATCATATGCAAATGAGCAGATGATGAAATTTAAATACGCATGTGGAGCAGTTATTTGAGGACCTACTCATCTCAAATACAGATTGATTTTTTTCATTAATTTTGCATACCTCACATAGTAACTAGTATATTAACAAGCATCCATTTATAGCTTACCTTTAATGAACTGTGTACAATCTTTTAAATCAATAACATTTAAACCTTTCATCTCCACTTATTCATTCAATTCCATTCTAAATTAGTAATTCCTCTCTGTTACATTTTGGTTGTATCCTGGGTAGAGATACTAAATCTCAGTGGAATGACTGTATTTTTTATAAAACAAATAGCCCCAATTCTCAGTTTCCTGGCAACAACCCAGATTTGGACAGTAAGTGAAGAGGCTCACAATCGGTTGCCTCTCCTGCTCAGGTTGCTGGAAAGAATTGTGGGGCTAACAGGTATTAGGAAAGGAAGAAGGAATGCTCTTCAGGATAACTAGGTCCTGCATTCAAAAGACTCATGGATGGAATCTCTCTCTTAGGATTCCTTTAGAAATGGTTTGAAATAAACCACCAGAAGTAAAAATCCAGTCATTCAGTGTGATGCCTCACTCTGAATCATCATACATTGTGTTTTGTGTATCACTAGATTAAAACTGTATTTGTCTCTTTCAGGCCCATAATTCATGTTGAAGTGACAGATATGTTGACCTCAAAGAAAATCATACATCCTTTTGGATGTCATCACAATTGGATTATTCAAGATATTTGCATACAATTTAATATTAAAGATTAAACTATTCTTTCTTGAAGTATTATAAATATAAAATTTTAACATTAAATCCTTTAAATAAATGCTAGTATTAAAATACAACATAAGTATATTATTTATTATATTAATATTTAATGTATTAATATTTATTAAACATTTCATTGATCTTTAATTATTATTAAGATTTAAATGTTAAGTTTCTGATAACTTGAATTTATTTTTAGAACATGAATATTGGACTTACAGGAATCCAAATCAGTTTCTTCATTTTAAAAATATTTCCTAATTTATCAGAGTCATTATAATTGTTTTGGGTAAGTCTGAATAGCTCATAATTCAATAAGGGTGCATTTTAAATACAGTCCATAGATCAGCTTGGCTAAGCAATGTTTCACATAGGAAACACGCTCTAAATTCTCTCTGAGACTGACAGCTAAGAATGGATGGCAATATTCTCTTCTCAGAGAAAAGAACTGTTTATTAAAATGTATTTAATGTACGAACTGAAGAGCTAATTATGCATCCATTCTTTAGTGGCATTTAAAATGACAGCTGTGTGGAAGCAAGGAGGATAATATTAATACACTGTCTTGAAATGAATGAAAGCAAAAAGAATTTTGTGCCATATTCTAGGGCATTTGAGTGCCTCACTTCAAGACGATTGCAGAACACAAAGCTCATTTTGTGTTCAGAGGCAGGAATGATTATTATCCCAGTATGAAAATAAGCCCTGCATTGATTAATCTGTGAAAACAGCAAAAGAAAATGAAGCTAGCTGCCAATCACGCCATCCATGTGATTCAAGAACAAAGTCTGTCCATTTTTAATAGTAAGTAGAAATATAAATTTGAGGAAATTGATTTTATAAATGAAGATAAATTTCTTAACATGGGCAAGAATTTACCATACATTTTATTTTTTTTTT